TTAAGACCAACTCCTTTTTGTGTACAGAGAGAGACTGGCACAGTCAGATTTTGTGACAGTACAAAGAAACAGGATATACCTGTGTGCTCAGATCCAAATAGCTTGTACATGCATATAATCTATCAGGTGCTAACGAAGTGTGTGACCACATGTTACCACCTGAAATTCCAGATAAACCCTCTTTTAAAAAAGGTATATAGCAGCGTGCAGAGGGTTTACCTAGGATTTCTAGATTTTTTTTAAAGTGTCTCGTGAGTATTCTTCAGTTTCAAGTGCAAGTTCTAGACGGGTACAGTGGATATAAAAAGTCTAAACACCCCTTTTAAAATGTCAGGTTTCTGTGATGTAAAAAATGAGACAAAGACAAATCATGTCAGAACTTTGTTCACCTTTAATGTGAGCTACTGTATAAACTGTACAACCCAATTGAAAAACAAACTGAAATCTTTTAGGGGGGGAAGTAAACATAAAAAACTAAAATAATTTGGTTGCATAAGTGTGCACACCCTCTTATAACCGGGGATGTAGCTGTGTTCAGAATTAAGCAATCACATTCAAAATTATGTTAAATAGGAGTCAGTACACACACCTGCCATCATTTAAAGTGCCTCTGATTAACCCCAAATAAAGTTCATCTGTTCTAGTAGGTCTTTCCTGACATTTTCTTAGTCACATCCTACAGAAAAAGCCATGGTCCACAAAGAATCCGAGGGATCTCATTGTTAAAAGGTATCAGTCAGGAGAAGGGTACAAAAGAATTCCCAAGGCATTAAATATACAATGGAACACAGTGAAGACAGTCATCATCAAGTAGAGAAAATATGACGCAACAGTGACATTGCCAAGAACTGAACGTCCCTCCAAAATTTATGAGAAAGCGAGAAGAAACTGGTCTGGAGGTTGCCAAGAGGCCTACAGCTACATTAAAGGAGCTGCAGGCATATCTGGCAAGCATTGGCTGTTTGGTGCATGTAACAACAAACTACAGTATTCTTCATATGTCTGGGCTATGGGGTAGAGTGGCAAGACAGAAGCCTTTTCTCATGAAAAGTGGTGGTGGTAGCATCATGCTTTGGGGCTGTTTTTCTTCAGCTGGAACTGGGGCCTTAGTGTAGGTAGAGGGGATTATGAACAGTTCCAAATACCAGTCAATATTGGCACAAACCCTTCAGGCTTCTGCAAATCATTAGTAAGACCTCATCTGGATATGCAGTTCAGTTTTGGGCACCAATTCACAAAAAGAACATTGGGGAACTGGAGAAAGTACAGAGAAGGGCAACCAAACTGATAAGAGGCATGGAGGAGCTCAGCTATGAGGAAAGACTAGAGGAACTGAATGTATTCTCTCTTGAGAAGAGGAGATTAAGGGGGGATATGACCAACATGTTTAAATACATCAGTGGTTCATATAGTGAACTCGGCGTAGAGTTATTCACCTTGAGGTCATCACAGAGGACAAGGGGGCACTCTTTACGTCTGGAGGAAAAGAAATGTAATCTCCAAATACGGAAAGGTTTCTTCACAGTGAAAGCTGTGAAAATGTGCAACAGACTCCCTCAAAAGTTGGTTCTAGCCAGCTCCGTGGATTGCTTTAAAAAAGGCCTGGATTCTTTCTTAGATACACAGAAATATAACTGGATACTAACATTTATAGGTAAAGGTGATCCAGGAAATATCCAATTGCCTCTCGGGAGATCAGGAAGGAATTTTTTCCCCTGCAGGAGCAAATTGGACCATGCTTTGCTGGGGTTTTTTTTTGCATTCTTCTGGATCAACTGTGGGTATAGGATTATAACTTTTTTTTATGATTGAACTGGATGGACTTTTGACTTTTTTTCAGCCAGACTAACTATGTAACTATGTAACTAATGTAACTATGTAACTTCCCTCCACCTAAAAGATTTCAGTTTGTTCAACTGAGTTGTACAGTTTATAGGTCACATTAAAGGTGGAAAAAGTTCTGAAATGATTTATCTTTGTCTCATTTTTTTACATCACAGAAACCTGACATTTTAACAGGGGTATGTAGACTTTTTACAGTGAGGAACAGAAGTATTTGAACACCCTGCGATTTTGCAAGTTCTCCTACTTAGAAATCATGGAGGGGTCTGAAATTCACATTGTAAGTGCATTCCCACTCTGAGAGACAGAATTTAAAAAAAAAATTCAGGAAATCACATTGTATGATTTTTAAAGAATTTATTTGTCTCGCACTGCTGAACATAAGTATTTGAACACCTAAGAAACAGCAAGAATTCTGGCTCTCAAAGACCTGTTACTGTGCCTTTAAAAAGTCCACCTCTACTCCACTCATTAATCTAACTTAGTAGCACCTGTCTGAGCTCTTTAAAGACACCTGTCCACCCCACAGTCAGTCAGACACCAACTACTACCATGGGCAAGATCAAAGAGCTGTCAAAAGACACCAGAGACAAGATTGTGGACCTCCACAAGCCTGCAAAGGGCTATGGGGCAATTGCCAAGCAGCTTGGTGAAAATAGATCAACTGTTGGAGCAATTGTTAGAAAATGGAAGAGGCTAAAGACAACTGTCAGTCTCCCTCGGAGTGGGGCTCCATGCAAGATCTCATCTCGTGGGGTATCACTGATGATAAGAAAGGTGAGGAATCAGCCCAGAACTACAAGGGAGGAGCTGGTCAAAGACATGAAGAGAGCTGGGACCACAGTTTCAAAGATCACTGTTGATAGAACACTATGCCGTCATGGTTTCAAATCATGCATTGCACAGAAGGTTCCCCTGCTCAAGTCATCACATGTCCAGGCCCGTCTGAAGTTTGCCAATGACCATCTGGATGATCCAGAGGAGGCATGGGAAAAAGTCATGTGGTCAGATGAGACCAAAGTAGAAACTTTTTTGGTCTAAACTTCACTCGTCGTGTTTGGAGGAAAAAGGACGAGTTGCATTCCAAGAACACCATCCCTACTGTGAAGCATGGGGGGTGGTAACATCATGCCTTGGGGGTGCTTTTCTGCGAAGAGTAAAGGACGACTGCACTGTATTAAGGATAGGATGAATGGGGCCATTTATTGTGAGATTTTGAGCAACAACCTCCTTCCCTCAGTCAGAGCATTGAAGATGGGTCGTGGCTGGGTCTTCCAACATGACAACGACCCGAAGCACACAGCCAGGATAACCAAGGAGTGGCTCCGTAAGAAGCATATCAAGGTTCTGGAGTGGCCTAGCCAGTCTCCAGACCTAAATTCAATAGAACAACTTTGGAGGGAGCTGAAACTCCGTGTTGCTCAGCGACAGCCCCGAAACCTGACAGATCTAGAGGAGATCTGTGTGGAGGAGTGGGCCAAAATCCCTGTTGCAGTGTGTGCAAACCTGGTCAAGAACTACAGGAAATGTTTGACCTCTGTAATTGCAAACAAAGGCTTCTGTACCAAATATTAACACTGATTTTTCTCAGGTGTTCAAATACTTATGTTCAGCAGTGCAAGACAAATAAATTCTATAAAAATCATACAATGTGATTTCCTGAATTTTTTTTTTAAATTCTGTCTGAGAGTGGGAATGCACCTACAATGTGAATTTCAGACCCCTCCATGATTTCTAAGTAGGAGAACTTGCAAAATCGCAGGGTGTTCAAATAATTCTGTTCCTCACTGTACATACACTGTATATGCATTTGGCGCATTCTTCATCACTTTTAGAATGCACAAAAGATACTTTTGCAAAATTTGTGTGTGCCAGTCTTGATGAATTCCAGGGATTGTGACCTATGCCAACCCTTAGCATCTTCTCTATGCAGCAAATTTGTACTGGGACCTATAGCTTTGCATCTACACCACTGACTGTAGTCATAGCAGCGAAGAAAAACATTCTGATTGGTTGCTATGGGTTTTAGTACTTTGCGGATCAGTTTGGTTATGTTAACTGATAATATGTTGATTTGCCATGCTTTGCAAGCAGCTACTGTACCCCAAACATTTTCATTTTATTAACATCGCCAAAAGAAACAGAAGACATTCGAAAGATTTTGTTGGTTTATTTTGTTTGTATTCAATGCAATATGTTGATTGTTTTGAGATGGGATTTATAAAAACACACATAGAATAAACAATAAATAAATAGTTAAAATGAAGTAATAGTTAACAAGTGAAATTTGTCACATACAGTAGTTCCACATTAGGAGACCAGTAAGGGCCAGTTCTCACCTGAATTGCAGAGGAATTGCAGTCCATGTTCCTGTGCAATTCCTATTCTACTCAGTGCAGTGCAATTTTCAGCTCATTCATTTGACTGGGCTGCCATTGCACTGAATCACAGTAGAAGGAGTGCATGCACTGATTTTCAAAAACGCACTGTACTGCATGTGGTACTGTGGTATTATGTGATCCAGTGCAGGCAAATGAACTTAATATGCAGTCTGCGTTTGGGATGTCATTAGGATTTTATTGACACTCACAGCAGATCACACATCCAGTGCATTTTGAACGCAGTGCAGGAAACATGCACAGAACATGGGTTTCCCACACTGCGTTCAGGTGTGAATGAGCGCTAAGTCTGTACATGGGAACACAAATTCACATCCTCAAGTTATGTACAGGAAGTTTTCTTAATAAAAAAAAAAAACTCTTCCATTTACTTATTACAGAAAAAAAGAGATAACAAGGCATACTCTTCTATATATGATCTCATAAATTCTCAGAATGTGCTTTAAAGTGGTATAAAAATGGAGATTATTGATAAAATCATGTATTAGTTGATACTAACAGTTCTGTATTACTATTTACAAGCTAAAGTTAGTTAATTTTTTCAGTAATCTGTGAGAACATTGTTTAATTAATAGTCTATAACAGTCAAAAAGACAGATGGGAGGTAACAATGACATGACATTTTATTTACACCGTGCCATAGAATTTACCAGCACTTGAAGAACTTAGTCAAATAAGACAGTTAGGTTCAACTGTCAGATTTTTACCTGTGCACTCAGTAGTGTATTAGTGAGCAGTGCAGGGGCAGACTGACAACTTATGGGGCCCCCGGGCAATAGGGGATCATGGGGCCCCTGTGTCCTAGCCCACACTCAAACTACACCCAAAAAATCCTATGAAAGGTACCAGGGTCATCTCATGGGGCCCCCTACTGACCCCGGGCCCTCAGGCAGTGCCCGAGTGCTCTAATGGTCAGTCCGCCCCTGGAGCAGTGACAGGTTAGCTTAAAGTTTAAAGAAAGATGTGAGAATGACTAAAAGATTAATTAAAGTAGATTAATGCTTCCTTTTCACATTCCTCATAGTGGCAGCAGATACACGACATAAAATTGTATATTATAGCTCGATGGGGAAGATTTACTAAAATTGGTGCACACAGAATCTGGTGCAACTGCGCATAATAACCAATCTCTTTCAGCCCTGGTTCACACTGGTGCAGCACCTTGCATGTAATTCACACAGGAACTGCTCCGCATTCCTGTGCAAATCACATGTGATTTCTGTGTGGTGCAATTTGAACCATACATTTTGTATGGCTCAAATTGCACCGCATCCACACAAAAATAGTGCAGGACCCTTTTTTTTGTCCGCATCAGAATTGGATCGCATGTGTGTGAACACCCATGCAATCCGATTCTGCACATCACACTGCCTTTTCCGAACCGATTTTGGGGTGTTGGTAACTTAAAATATGTACCCACAGCGGTTCACATGAAGGGGGTGTGATTTTGATGCGGTTCAGAATTTGCCCAGAAACCGCTGCAAATTTTGCACCGCATCAGTGTGAACCAAGGCTCAAGGTTTTATTGTCAAAGCTTAATTGAACAAGCTGAGGTTAGAAGCTGATTGGCTACCATGCAGAGCTGCACCAGATCCTGAGTGCTCCAGTTTTTGTAAATCTCTTTAAGTGTGACAATTTTCACAGGATGCATACTTCTTTCATATGTTAACAAGGATATTACATACTGTAAGTGATCTTTCTTTTAGTAACTTCGGCAGCTATATCTCATTAGTACTGATTTTAGTATATCCCCCTGGAGATGAGAGAAGCTCTTATAAAGCACCACTGACTGATTCTTTTTCATGGTTAGATGATTCTGCCACCCACTGGCGCTGGAGGTGAGGAACTATGGGGCCATGGTCATGCACAGGGAATCAGACTGATGATCTCTTGCTGTGTTTTCAGGTCGTATGCATACTGCAAGTCTCTGGAGAGAAAAAGGGAGAGCTTAAAACATAGTCTAGCAAAAATATAATGTCAAGGCTTTGTTCAGTCTGAGTGAACTGAGTCTCTTGCTATGTGCTACGCCCCTCCCCAGGCTCTTCTGTGTGCTGCTGCTGGGGGACACCATTTAATTTGAGTGGTGTGTGTATCCCTCAGTGACAATGTGTCACGCCTCACCTCTAACAACTTTGCTGCAGGACTTCTTGAAGGGAGGGAGGGGGTGTTGGAGTGTGGGGACAGTAATTGGCAACTGTGAGGTTTCCAAACCCCAAATACCCTCATTTCCCAACCATTGCAGAATATGGAGGAACAATGCTTGTGAAGTCTCCTGGCAACAAGGAATGACCAACTGCCACCTCTCAACCCTCAACAACAACCCCCCTCCCCACCCTCAACAATAACCCCCCTCCCCACCCTCAACAATAACCCTGCTCCCTACCTCTTCACCCTCAAGATAAAAAACCCTCTCCACACTCAACAACAACCCTTCTCCCCACTCTCAACAATAATCCCGCTCCCTGCCTCTTCACCCTCAAGAAAAAAAACCCTCTCCACCCTCAACAATAACCCCATTCCCTACCTCTTCACCCTCAAGAAAAAAAACCCTCTCCACCCTCAACAATAACCTCATTCCCTACCTCTTCACCCTCAAGAAAAAAAACCCTCTCCACCCTCAACAACAACCCCCCTCCCCACCCTCAACAATAACCCCGCTCCCTACCTCTTCACCCTCAAAAAAAAAAAACCCTCTCCACCTTTCCACCCTCAACAACAACCCCTCTCCCCACCCTCAACAATAACCCCGCTCCCTACCTCTTCACCCTCAAGAAAAAAAAAACCCTCTCCACCTTTCCACCCTCAACAACAACCCCTCTCCCCACCCTCAACAATAACCCCGCTCCCTACTTCTTCACCCTTAGGAAAAAAAATCCCTCTCCACCCTCAAGAAAAAAAGCCCTCTCCACCGTCAACAACAACCCCCCTCCCCACCTCTCCACCCTCAACAATAACCCCCTCCTGTATAATGATGGGCATAGTATGGATGAGGGGGTCCTGTGTAATGATGGGGGTGTGAAAGGGCATGGAGAGGGGCACAAGAAAATGTTTGCCCAGGGTCCAATTAAAATTAAAGATGGCCCTGACTGTTACAGCTCCACTTTTGCTCAAATGTTTATAATTACAAATATAGACATCTAGTGCCCAAAACACAGTATTTTGGTGCTTTCTGTGAAGCTCTTGGTCCCAAGCAGTGTATAGTTGGTGTGGGAGCTTGTAATGGTGGGGATCTCTAGCAGTGTCAAATAAAATGTCCCTAGTCTCTGACTATCTTCTACAGCATGTATCCAGTTTCCAGCCACACCTGTAGCTTATGCTCAGCTTTTGAGGATCTCCTGTAGTATGTCTGTAGTTTCTGACAGTCCTCTGTACCATACTGTTACGTACTGCATACTGAATAGTATGAGTGACCTCCATTACCCTGCACACGGCCACCAGTGTAATATGGATCATACACATTGCTCTAATTTGACAAAGTGATAGACATTTAGGGGTTATTTACGTAACGTGGAGCGTGCAAAATCTGGTGCAACTCTGCATTGAAACCATTCAGCTTCCAGTTTTTATTGCCAAAGCTTAATTGAACAAGCTGACGTTAGAAGCTGATTGGCTGCCATGCACAGCTGCACCAGATTCTGAGTGCATCCATTTTAGTAAATCCCCCTCTTAGCATATTTAATTCTGTAGCAATATCAAGAAGTATCTTTCCTAGCCTATGCTTGCTTACATGAAGATTTTCTGCAGCACCAAAGCAAAAATAAAATTAACTTTAAAGTGTTACTAAACCCAGGACCCTGCATTCACTATATCTGGTCTTCCACAGTACACAGAACAGTACACAGAACACGGAAATACAATTATAACTGCTAAATCCTTTTCTCATCAGGAGAGCAGTCTTGTGACTTCTATCAGTGTCCAGAAGAGCATTGGTTAAAGCTTGCAGAAGGAGATTTAATTCTCCTCCAGGAAGATGCAGAACCCCTGACCTCTGTCTGGACAGTGCTGAATGGCTCTGTGTTGATTACATGCACTCTCTCAAGAAAAAAAAAACTCTCTACCAATATACACCAAACTGAGCATGTGCAGAGTGACTCCAAACCTCTGTTCTATAAGGAGATGTTGAGGGGACAATGGGGAGGATCAGAGAAGATAGGATCAAACGTCCTTTTTACACAAGGTGGAAGATTAACCCCTTAGGTTCCACGGTGACTATAACAAGCATGCTTTACTGCATATATGTTTTGCATTGTATTGGTATTGTTCTGTCACATGTTCTGTCCCCCTTTGTAATGTACAGTGCTGAGCGAACCATTGGCGCTTTATAAATACTGTATAATAATAATAATATACAGACTGATTTTACTGTTGTGGGTTTAGTAACACTTTAAGTGAAATCACCCATGTTATAGCAGGTACTGCCTGTGATCAGTAAGACTTTGGATAGGAGCTTGTACAGTTCAAAAGATGAGCAACACTGTCAAAAGTGTGTGTGTGTATTCTGTCAAGGGATTCTACAGCCTTTGAGTCATAACAGGGCTGGAAACGCATTCATTATCCCCAAGGCAGATATACTAATTAGTCATAGTCATTTTTGCTCCAGGTAATAAAAATAAAATGAATTTTCCAAGTCCACTATTAAGGGTACACTACTAATGAAGGCTACAAATATACTTGGTGTCATGTTATACTATATATGAGACATAAGTTATAAATAAGCCTTTAGGGCATTCACCTGTTTGAGTGATCCTGGAGTCCATACTAGTTTGTATACCATATAAACAGGAATCCAGATGAAGGATGAAGCTCCAATGAGGTATCCAACAGAAATGGTCCATTCTGGATACTTGTAATCAAATAGCATCAAAGGTGGCTGATCAATGAATGAGCTCACTATGATAAACTGATGAGAAAGAGACTACAGTTATATACATTACAAAGAAGAGTCAGGTCTTCTGCTCACTGCTTCCATTAAATCACATGGCATAAAACAGATACTGTAACTGTGCTTTTACATGTAACAAAATCATTTTGAAAGATGGAAGTATTTATGTTTTTTTAATACCCGTTTCAACTAGATTATCTCAGGTAGGCAGTTGTATGGGGATTATACTAAAATAGGTTACAGTTTGACACTTTAGACTCATCAGCCAATTATCAAGCCATAAAAATCAGCTACAAATATAACCACACTAGTAAATACAATATATATATAAAATATTGAGTACTGTCCATGATACTTTTTTTATTTGCACTAACATACAATTTTCAGGACAAGCTTTCGGGGTATGTCCCCTTCTTCAAGGTCCAACCGTTGCTTGGACCTTGAAGAAGGGGACATACCCTGAAAAGCTTGTCCTGAAAATTGTATGCTAGTGCAAATAAAAAAAGTATCATGGACAGTGCTCAATTGTTTTTGTCACAAGTGCACTAATACGGCTACAATCACCTCTAAAAAAATTTCATAATTTCCATCAAACTAATTCATGAATAATGTATACTAATGTGGAACTGAACTCAAAAAGCAAAGATTTGCTAGTTTATATGGAATATCTAGAAGTGTAGTTTATGCACAAGCAGTAATACACATTTTTAGTTTGAATTCCTCCTGAAAAAATGTGAAAATGCCTAGGGGCTCCTGTGCCAACAGCCTAATAGCTGTAAATCTGCAGTGTGATCTAAAGCAGGCCATACATTTATAGATTTATTTTCATTCAGTCTACAAGCATACACCGAAATCCAAGCTTGGCAATGCTGCTTGTCACTTCATCTGCTTCCATAGCAGCTTGTGAAAAAAGCCACTTTCCTCCAATTCATGGCCTTGGTCATCCCACATTGACTTAATGCCACCTGCCAACATTACATTTATGTGTTTTATTTTTTTTGTTAAGCATTATTTACCCATTTAACTTTTATGTTTTTGTTATTTTTTTTTTTCTGGTAATGCCACCCTTCCCTGCTCAAGCAAACATGGATGGGTTGGCAAGGCTATAAATTAATAAAAAAATGGACCATTGGGTGCGAGGATTTATCACTGGCCGGAGGTGGCCCAATGAACACTGGAGAAAACAGCCTGTCCTGCTGCAAGTGTCAGGTTAGAGAGGCTCCAAACTGCAGCTGAATTTTTTCAAAATGAATCAGGTCTAGGTCCCAAAGAAGTTCCAAACACCCAATGTGGAACACATTTATTTTATATCCATTCATAGGTTGAACTCTGTCTGAAAACAATTTTTGGATATTTGCACTGTAAAAAATAATTTTAATTCAGCCTGTACAGTACAGTAAGTGTTGAATGTCCATTGTTGAGACCTAAAGGATAAGTTCACCTTTTAGAAAAAAATAATGCACAGTTTTTAGCAGATCCAAAAATGTGCATTTATTTTTTGTGTGTGCAGGAGCCTGGAAAGCATTGCACCAGCAATCGGCTGATTGCTGATGTCATGTAGGTCTCTTGTCAGTATATCTGCTTGCTGTACGGGATGTACGAGCAAGCAGATATACTGACAGGAAAAATGAATGTAATTAAATTACATTGAGGACTACAAGCTGACATCTGCTAAGGCTGCCGGGACTAGTAGCCTCTCATTCACAGATGACTGTGAATGAGTGACGCGGCCATGTGGGCAGAGCCCCGCGTGGCCACGTTTTTTAAAAATTTGACAACTAGTGAGGGGGGAGAAGATCCCTTGCTAGCTGTCAAAGCGGGAATCAGAGGTGAGCGGGGGCTGCTCTGATCATAGCATGTTACATGTTACACACTGAATATGGGTGTAACATGTAACATGTTACAAAAGGTGAACTTATCCTTTAAGCTGGCCATACATAGATTTTATAAATGAACATGTGTATAAAAATTCATTAGTACATTTGATAACCTGACAAATGTCATTCAAAAGAACTTCAAAATGTAATCTGCTTTTAATATTTGATTCTGGAATGAATGGAATTTCCCAAACACAAACCACATCCAGTGTTAGAAACCTATCCATTCAAGAAAAAATTTCCATCCTGCTCCTTCCAATTTTCTCTTCACTGCAGTAGAAAACAAATGTCAGTTTGACCCCACTAATTACACTGCAGAACTGCTCCCAGGTTGTGGCCCTTGAGTACGCTAAGACTGGCATCTTTTCCTTTGACTATAAAAATAAACTCATATTTGTGTTCACATATTATGGACTATTTAAGCAGCTGGCATACTGTCCTACTTCTGCTTAGCTGTTTTTCACATTTGTATCTGATATACTATATTGTAATTTTTATTGTAGAAAACACACCCGCTTTATTTATGTCTGCACAGTTTATACTATTCTACTACTGGATACATTAAACTACCATCTTGGTGAAAGCAGGGGCGGACTGACCAAAGAAACTTGGGCACTGCCGCCAGTAGGGGGCCCCATGAGATGCCCCTGGTACCTTTTTCATAGGCTTTTTTGAGTTTGGGCAAGGACACAGGGGCCCCATGATCCCCTATTGCCCGGGGGCCCCATGAGTTGTCAGTCCGCCCCTGGGTGCAAGTCATTTGTTTTTCTGAAATGTCTCTGGGGCAGTACACTTTTATTTGTATTGTAATAAAACACCTCCTTTCATTTTATTTCACAAAGCTGCTGCTGTTCAGATGTCTCTTAAAGAATATGTAAACCCAACATTTCATTTTCCTGATATGTGCCTGCTGTACCATGTACCTGTATGTATGAAAAAGTATCCTGTTATCTTTTTGTATTGCTTTCTTTGTGTGCAATCTCTGGTGATCCTGCCAGTCCCTCTGCTTTCCTATTTTAAAAAAAAAAATTGACCATACTAGGCAGGAAAGCACAGCGTGGTCAGCTCTCTGACTGTGCTGGGCACTCAGCCTGCTCTCCTCCAATAATCAGACTTATCCCCCCCACACACACACCCCACACACACACACACACACAGCCATTCACTGGGAAGATCAGTATGCTGCTGTCTCTCCTCCCTGAGCTTCTTATGCAGCTAAGAACAGAGGAATGTGTTAATTTGTAAAAAAAAGGGAAAACAAAGTATTTATAATGTTTTTTTATCTATACACAAATGTTTTATTTCTCTTTTCTCTTTCATTTCACTTTTAAATGGAATGGGTTATTTTACAAGGTGAGAGATCATATATATTTTAAGTGTCTCAGAGATAATAATCATGAACACCTACCTTGTTGGTGTTTTCACATTTTATCCTATTGGTCACATTTACCTACTGCCTTGCTGCTGGGCAGTCTTTACCAAACCTTACCAAGGGGTATATCTGAAGTATTTAGTTTTTTTAAAAAACTGGATATATGGGGTTATGGGCATATCCTGAACTAGCTCAATATAAAATTGCCACATTATGGCCAGTAGATGGAGCTGATGGTCATAGGAGATAATCATATTACAAACACATGTAGCATTCATTTGTAGTGCTTGTTCTAATGCGCAAGACATCCACACTGCTAATGTTTTATACAAGACCCCTATGCTGCACTTCCATCATTTTCTACCAGGAAGATAGGACCTCTGTCTGCTTGGGAAGCATTGGTATTACAACTGAATGCGGGCCATTGTAAGAGGGAACTCCATCTAACCTTCTGACAAAAGCACAACCATGCAACTTGAAAGTAAACATTTTACTCACTGCTAAAAATGCTGGACTGATTGCTACCCAGCAAACTCTCCAATATATACCTGGGGAAAATCCCCCAACATGGACTTTATATCATTACAGAACCTTTGTATACCTGTCAACAAAAAAGAAAAACTGTTTTATTCATTACACATTGTGCTTCATCTACAAAATGTATCAGTATTAAATTGTTTAAGGCAAAATATGCACTTTGTATAGTTTTTCAAATAGTCAAGAGAAAAAAAGTGAAATGTGGTACATATATCTATGCAGAACAATTCCAATTTACAGTAGAATTGGTCATGTTCTCTACCCAGAATCATTCAGAAGTATGGTGCAAAGCAGACTTTATCAGCTTAGAAAATATCCACTTAGATATTTCAAGCAAGTGAATGAAAAAATGGATTATTCTCATGTGACTCTTGATCAACCACCTCCATTGTTCTCCAAAACATTGACAATAGGCATCAACATATCTTTTCATATAGACAGCTTTTGATTGATCTATATATTAAACATGGAACATGATTTTGAGATATTTGGAGGTCTAGATGATTTCCAGAGCAGTTTCTCAACATTTTGAAAATGTACACCCTTTAAAAAAACACTTCCTGGTGTCCATTTCTCTTTGGCCCTGTTTACAAATACTACACTTCAAGAATGCAGGTCACCACCAGGGGTGGACTGACAACTCATGGGGTCCCCGGGCAATAGGGGATCATGGGGCCCCTGTGTCCTTGCCCAAACTCAAAAAAAGCCTATGAAAAAGGTACTAGGGGCATCTCATGGGGCCTCCTACTGACTCTGGGCCCTCGGGCAGTGCCTGAGTTTCCAAATGGTCAGTCGGCCCCTGGTCACCACTAGGGCACACAGAAAACAATTATTTTCTATATGTTCTGTTCATTTTAGTGGAGCCAAAAAGTGCGGGGCAATCAGCTGTGATAATGACCTAGAGGCCCGCCATTTATGTGCCGTTCTGCCCAGAGCTATTACCACTGCTGCTGTCATTCTCATTCTCACAGAGATGATAGTGGAAGGTGAGACACCTCTGGATGGAGGGCGGGGGCTGCCCAAGTTAGCAAGTAGGTGATTGGTTGCTAGGATGCAGGGCAGTCCTAGCAATCAATCACCAGCTTGCAGCTCCTGCCCTCTGTCCAAACCGCTGTACCTCCCACCCTCCTCCCTGTCTGTGTAAAATAGGACAGGAAGGGGTGGAGGACATTGGGGAAGGAGCCACATGAAGGGGGCTGAGGACATTGATGGGGGGCTCATGACAGTTCAGGGGGGAGCTCAGGACAGTAATAGGGGGAATGAGGACAGAGGGAGGCCTCAGGACAGTAATGGGGGGCTTAGTACAGTAAAGGGGGAGCTCACAACGATAATGGGGGCTCAGGACAGCTAAGGGGAGGGAACTCAGGACAGTAATGGGGGGGGCTCAGGGCAGTAATGAGGGACTAAGGACATTAATGATGTTGTTAAGTACAGTAATGGGGAGACTGAGGACAGTAATGGGGGGCTCAGAAGAGTACTGGGGTATGAGAATAGCAATAGGGGGCTCAGTACAGTAATGGCTGAGGACATTAATAGAGGGCTGAGGAAAAAAATGTGAGGGGGGCTGAAGACAGTAAATGGGGGGCTGAGGACAGTAATGTGACGGGGAGTGACTGGGATGTGAAGGGGGGACTGAGGAAGCTGATATAAGAATGGGATTACGATATGAGGATCGATTCAGATCTGTGCATGTGAGTTTGCATGCATGCATTGGGGGTAGGGCAGTCCATTTATTTTATTGGGCTGCCTTACCCAAGAGAAACGTAGAGTTTCAACCCCCATTTTTTTATAGCACTGCATCAAGCTGCATGGTGCAGCAGCACCATGTGGTTTGGTGAATGCGAAAATTTGCTGTAGGAACTCCCAAGCATCTGCTAAAGTGCAGTGCGTTTCTCTGTGAGTCAGAAATGCATGCAATTTTGTGCATGTTCCCCAGCTACAGAGATGTGAACTTAGCCTAAGAGAGGGGGTTGTTGTGATGTGAAGGATCTGAGAGATCGCACAAAATATTACTGACTGGATCTCCGTGAATTTCAGTTCAATACCCCTGCTTTATAACAACAAATATTAGATTGGAGTTAATGTATCGGATCTTACCATAAAACCATGACACAGCAATTGCTTCTAAAAATACAACTGCGATGATGGAACAGCCAGCCCCAAATTCTTCAAGAAGCTTTACAACATATGCTCCTCCCTGGTATAATCAGTCATAAAATAAAATTAAAGACAAAACAATTTTTTTACATCATTTGTATGCATGGATCACATATATAATGAGCATCAGTAAACATAGGTAACATTATCTTAATACTGCTGGTATACAGTCAATCCACCCATAACTGATTTATTATTATTTGTAAATTTTTTTAATTTTATTTTTGGGGAATGTTAGATACATAGATCATATTCGATTGGATGCTATAGTTGAGAAATCTTGGGCTTTGATTTCCCAGGCACACCTGCTGTTGTCATAATGAAGGGATATCACTCTCAAGCTGGGTTATAACAGAACAATGAGGTATGCAGAGGAGATCTTACAACTGAAGTTTAGTAAGAGAGAGCCTTCCTTTTATAACAGAGCAGGGTCAGGGATGGCATATACACTATAGGCAGCGCAGGGGCGGACTGACAATTCATGGGGCCCCCGGGCAATAGGGGATCATGGGTCCCCTGTGTCCTGGCCTAAGCTAAAAAAGCCTAGGGGCTTCTCATGGGGCCCCCTATGGACCCCGGGCCCTCGGGCAGTGCCCGAGTTTCCAAATGGTCAGTCCGCCCCTGAGGCAGCGCCATTTAAAACAAACCTGGATCAATGATGTTGGACATACAGGAAATAGGAAGAATGTAAGTGGTGCTCTGCCCTAAGAAGCCTGGAGGCGCTAGACCAAGGAGGAATCTGGAGTATGGAGAGGGTAAGTAATGCTTGAACAATTTTTTTTTAATTTAAGGTGGAGCTCCACCCAAAAGGGGAAGTTCTGCAGAGCTCCCCATTAAGGATTGACACCTTTGGGGAGCGGGTCCCCGAATTTGACAGGTTCCCACTGCAATCGCCTATGCAATTGAAAGCGAAAGTTGCCCTTCCCTCCCCATAGTCTTCTGGGACACGTGACAGGTCCCAGAAGACTACAGGGCCATTCACAAAGCGCAGTGCAGTGGCACCCGGCTGTGAAGCCACAAGCTGTCACAGCAGAGTGTCCACACTGAAGATGGCAGCGCCAGGGAGAGAAGACAGCCGGTGAAACCAGCGGTGGTGAGGACACCACTGGACCGAGGGACAGGCTGTATTTTAAAAGTCAGCAGCTACAGTTTTTGTAGCGGCTGACTTTTGTTTTATTCTTTTTAGGTGGAACTTCGCTTTAATATGGGCTGGAGGAAATAATTAAAAAAAATATTTGAGATAAAGCTGAAATCAGGTCTGTTGCTTTACCTTGTGTGGACAAAGCACATATTCACCTTGAAGTTCAAAATAAAACAAAGGTAGAGCGGTTGTCCAAGCAACCAATTATACTACATTTTTTCCATGAAAAAAATTATTTATTGAATGGTATGGGCAACAACCTCAGATCTGCTCCAGTTTTGTGTGCAATATAATGTCCTGCCAGTCTTTCATGTTTTTTTTTTTTTTTAACTCAGTACAGGGTAAGATGTGAGTGTACCAGTATATAGCCTTACATGAGTCAAAGTGCTGAGTGAGCCAGTAAAGCAGACAGTCACCAATCCTAAGACGAAAAGCTCCCTCCTCTTGCCCAGAATGTGCGGGTATTCATCCATAATGGCAGTGATGACAGCTTCCAGACCACCAAACTAAGTAAGATCCAGGAGACATATTAAGGTGGGCAATAAAGGCCCAGGAAAAATATCTTACCAGCAGTAATATGACTAGACTTGAAGACAGACCTTAAAAAATGAACAATTCAACTAGTAAATCACATTTCGATTATTTTTTTCACTTTAAAAATAACAGTTTCAGGTAAACATGTAAAATACTCTATTAACTCATTCATTTTCATCCTTATTTATTATTACAGTCAAGGAATTATTTTTCAGTGCAATGAATATACTGAAATTTGATGGTATGCATATTGATGTACATTTTTAACAGGTAAAAGTGATGAAATTGCCCTTTTCTTCCTATAAACAAGAATCCTCATTGTTAGTAAAAGGGCTGGTTCACACCACGTGCAGTCTAGTGCATTTTTTTTCTGCATCAAATATGCATTGATAGTAAGTTATATAGTTTCCAATAGCATAGTTTGCACCAGTTCAGCGTGCCCGGGTCTAGGGGGGTGCCCCCACAGATTTCAGTTGTGCCCCCCCCAGGCTGGGTGCCCCCCTCCTCCCATGTACATTATGCCCGCTGAGCTCCCCCCCATCATGGCACTCATGGCAGGTCACAGTTATCTGAAGTAAACAGTCCAGACAGGAGCGGCAGAGAAGTGTGAGCGGGGAGGAGATGCGGGCTCTCTGTGATCTCCACCTCCTGTCATAACAGCGATCCTCCATACAGCAGGTTACATAGGATCGCTATTATATCTGATAGTACACGGCTTTATTACCCCCCATCCACATTTCCAAGTTTTGAGCAGTCTATGGAGGAGATGGGGGAGGGTTAGAAATCCGTGCACTGTCTGATGTAATAGTGATCCTATGTAACCTGCTGTATGGAGGATCGCTGTTATGACAAGAGGTGGAGATCACAGAGAGCCCGCATCTCCTCACTACTGTTGTCCCTGCATGTAAGACTGGGGGAAGGGAGCTTGTGGAGGAGGGGTGGTGGGGGGGCTGTTTGTGCTGGGAAGGGTAATTGGGGGGGATGTGTTAGGAGGCAGGGTTGGGGAAGATTTGTGCAAGGAGGGTGGAATTGGGAAGGGAATAGTGCCAGAAGGGGGATTTGGGAGGGGGGTGGATTTATGCTAGGAGGGGGGAATGGGGGGATTAGTGCTAGGTGGGGGGAATTAGGGGTGGTATGTGCCACTAGAGTGATTTGGGTATGGGGGGGTTTGTGCTGGGAAGGGTAATTTGTAGATGGTTGTGCTAGGAGGAGGAATTTGGGGGGTGGGGGGTTTGTACTAGTAGGGGGGATTTGTACTTGGAGGGGTGATTTGTACTAGGAGGGGGAATTTGTACTAGAAGGGGGGGGTGGGGGGGTGGGAGGATTTGTACTGTGGGGGGATTTGTGCTGGGAGGGGGGATTTAGGGGGGAGTATTTGTACTAGGAGGGGCAATTTGAGAAGATTTATGCTAGAAGTGGGGATTTGGGGGAGAGGGTTTGTGCTAGGAGTGGGGAATTTGTACTAGGAGGGATAATTTGAGGAGATAATTTACACTAGGAGGGGGGATGGGGGGAATTTGTACTAGAAGGGGGAATTTGGTAAAGGATTTATGCTACAAGTGGGGATTTGTACTGGGGGTGAGATTGGAGAGTGAATTTTTACTAGAAGGGGGGATTTGAGGGGAGAATTAGTACTAGGAGTAGGGATTTTGGGGAGATGGTTTGTACTAGGAGGCGGGATTTGGAAGGAAAGAGGATGTGTGCTAGGAAGGGTGATTTTTGGGGCATGGAAGATTTGTTACGGATTGGGGGGATTTGAGCTGAAAGCTGGGATTGAGGAACAAAGATGAGGAATTTTTGCATTTTGATTTGGGTAGAATTTGGGCTTTCAGAAGGAATTTATGCTTAGGGGATGAGAATTTTGATTCATGCTGGGTTTTTTTTGTTTTGTTTTTTGGGGGGGGGGAGGCGGAATTTGTCACCTTGACATTGAGTTCTAGATGACATTGCCTGTCACTGCCCACACTGCACACAAGGCACTCAACAGATCTCCTCCCCACACATAACACATAGCTGAGATCAAATTCCCCAAAGTATCGATCTGCACAGGGGCGGACTGACAACTCATGGGGCCCCCAGGCAATAGGGAATCATGGGGCTCCTGTGTCCTTGCCCACACTCAAAAAAAGCCTAAAAGTTACCAGGGGCATTTCATGGGGCCCCCTACTGACCCTGGGCCCTCGGGCAGTGCCCGAGTTCTCGAAAGGTCAGTCTGCCCCTGGTCTGCGCAATGTGTAACTAGCTGCAGTTGCAGTTCTGACCTGTGAAATTCCCTGATTGGATAGCCAGCTATACACTGTGTGGAGGGATACTGATCTCAGCTATGTGCTGTGTGAGGAGGAGGAGATCTCTTAAATGCTCTGCCAGCAGTGACCCTGCCCTCAACTCTGCTGACCACTATCTTCTGCCATGCTGACTCCTGTACCCTGCCTTGCTAACCCCTGTCCTCTGCACGGCTGACTTCTATCTTCTGTCCGGTTGACCCCTGTCCTCTGCCATGCTAACCCCTGTACACTGCCCTACAAACTGTCCCCTACCCCCCTGACATTTGTTACTGCACACCCAAATCAGACAGGCTAGATCCGGCCCTGCAGTGCAGTCAGTTCTAGTGCATTCCAGTTCCAGAAAGAAAATTAGAACATGCTGCATTTTTTCTGCACCGAACCGAAATTGAACACAATAAAATGCATAAAAAATGCTCCAGACACACCTTGATGCACCAGAAGACACATGTCATTATTTAAGGTGAAGGGAAAAAAAAAAGGGCAAAAATGCATCAGAACACATCAAGAACGCGCATGCAGAAAGGTATCAGAAAAGAATCTGGACTGTGTTTCCATGGTGTGAACTTGCCTATAGACTGCATTTACACCCAAGTTTTGCATTTTTTAGCATTTTTTGTACACATGTTTTTGAGTGTTTTTGCATGTCTTTGTACAGCATTTTTAAATCGTTTTTTAGCTTTGGCATTTCTTTTTTTTTTAGCCAATAGAGCAAAATATCATCTATTTCATCATTTGTTGCTTGGTTTTTCAGTTTTTTTAGCTTTTCCATCAGCTTTTGACTAAGTTTTTTTAATATTATTTTTTTTTTTTGGGTAAGGGGTTTAAGTAAGGTTAGCTGTTAGTGTTAGGATTAGAGGTTCGAGTTTGGGGTTAGAGTTAGAGTTAAGGGTTAATATTTTATTTTTGTTAGGGTTTGGGTGTTAATTAAATAATTTATTATCATTATTATTTAATTACTTATTTTTTAGGGTTAAGGTTAGGGGTTATTATTTATTTATTAATTATGACATATTATTTTTGTTTGTTTATTATTTATTTATGGTTATTTTTATTTATTTGTGTATTTATTTTATTTATTTAACATTTATTTATTCATAATATCATTATTTTTTTTTACATTTTCTCATTTGAGCAGAACAAAACTTCAAAAATGTGTGAAGACGCTTAGAAACGCGCAAAAACATGTAAATTGCACAGTTCAAAAACGCGCAAATCTGCCAGATTTGAGCAACAAAAAAGTTCCAGAACTTGTTTGAGCTCTAGGTGACTTGGAGTGGAGATGTGAACCATCTCCACTGAGAATAATTTATTTTTTTGTCAAGTGTTTTGGAGCTTTGAACTACAAATTGCTCAGGTGTAAATGGGGCCTTAGTGTTATTATTATTATTATTATTATTATTATTATTATTATTATTAATAATAATGATAATAATAATAATAATGAAACTAATCAGTAGCTGTGTGTGGCTCAGCCTCATATGGCCTGCTAATTCAAGTCTTTCATAGGGACATTGTTTGGTCATTTAAAAAAATCTTTGTTTCTGTAACAATCTCATTTCTTGTGAGACAATGTAAAAAACCTAGACCTTTAGCAATTATTGAACTTCTGTTGGTACAAACCACAATAAAATAATTTTTTCATTTCTGGCTTGTTTTCTGTAAAGCAGGAATATAATTTTGACAGGATTTATGTTGACTTACTGTACTGTCCAAACCAAGCGTGATCATCATCAGAAAAAATATAATTGCAAAGAATGTTGAGCCAACCATGTTAGCAATGGCCTCTGGGTAAGTGATAAATAGTAGACTGGGACCTTTGAAACAAAAAAATACATGTGTTATAAAATTATTTGTCTAGGTCTGGTCAGCATAATATAGGAGTTCACATTCACATATAACATAGAGTAGCTAATGAATGTTTATGTATTACTCAACATATTTACAGATATATAATAAAACATTATTTATGTGTTATCACTGTTTAGCTAGCCTTAGACTGGCCATATGTAGGCTGAATTTCTTAGAGGATTTTATAAAGATCCCCAAAAAAAATATTCTTATACAGCCCCAATTCCAAAAAAAGTTGGACCCTGTGTAAAATCTACATAAAATCAGAATGCAATGATTTGCAAATCTCATAAACCCATGTTTTTATTCACAAAATAAATTAGAAAACATATCAAATGTTTAAAATGAGAAAATGTACCTTTTTAACCAAAAAAAATGGTAATTTTGAAACGACATCAACACTTTTCAAAAAAGTTGGTACAAGGCCATATTTACTACAGTGTGGCTTTAAACATATGATATGTTTTCTGTTTTCTATTTTTAATAAAATTTGAGTTTATGAGAATTTGCAAATCACTTCATTCTGTTTTTATGTAGATTTTACACAAAGTGTCAAGTGTCCCAACTTGTCTAAAATTGGGTTTGTAAGTGGATATGTTTGAAGTGATACCAAAAGTTCAGTTTTGTTTTTTTAAATAGCAAACATGTCATACTTACTTGCTCCGACCAGCCCTGATTCTCCTCTTCTCAGGTCTCCTGCTGGTGCTCCTGGCTCCTCTCCCCCTAGCTAAGTGCTCCCAAAGCAAGTTGCTTACTCTAGGGGCATTCCTGCCTGCTCTCTCCCAAGCCACCCACTCCCTCCTTGCTGGCTGTGATTGATAGCTGCAGGGGCCAATTGCCCCACTGCTGTGACTTAGCCAATGAGGAGGGAGAGACCCAGGAGAGCTGCTGCTCTCGTGCACATTGCTGGATCGGGCTTGGGCTCAGGTAAGTATTAGGGGGGGCTGAAAAGGGAGCTACATAAAGAAGGTTTTTTTATCTTCATGTATAGAATGCATGAAGGTAAAAAAAAAACCTCCAGCCATTAGAACTACTTTAATTTGTGTCTTGGTCTGCTCAGCATAAAATAAGGATTCACATTCATACAGATTACACAGTAGTTGATGAATGGTAACATCATCAACGTGTATGTATAGCTGAACTTTTATCAGATAAATAACAAAAGTTACGTATGTCTTACCACTGTTTAGCTAGCCTTAAATTTGCCATAAATAAGCTGATTTTCTGAGATTTTAAAAAGATCCAAATTGTTTCATTGATTGAGTGAATATTCTTAATTTAAATCATGGTAACTGAAGGAATTTAATTATCTTATGTTATGCATACAATTTTAGGATTTTTTTCCTGATACAATTAAAAATATTTGAAATCAACCCCTTTTATTCAGATAGTTTGAATATTTGGGATTTTGATTCTATCTAGGATTACTAATAACACAGCCCCAAGGAGTTACATTTTTAAAGTGGAACATCACTCTCTCACTCAACATGGACTATTCCTAATCCTTATGCTGCTAGCATTAGTAAATAGATAGGAAACTATATAATATTTGCTTGTTTTAACCTTTTATTTTTGCATTCTTTCATTTATTTCCCTGGTTTCTGTGCCTAGGCAAATGATGTTATACATCCCAGGAGTCTTCAGGAGGGGAGAGAGGGTTCTCAGCTCAGCCAATGCCTGAGCTAAAGGCAGATGGATTCCAGGAAGTAAGTGCTACATGAATTATCTTCCCTTACTTAAGATGGCCTCTGCCAGAAATGCCAGGAAGTGTTTTTCAAAATGATTTTTTAGTATAATAAAGCATGGAGACATGGATGGGTGGAGGAGTTTGTTTTGAATATTAAAAATGAATTATATAGCATTTTTGGTTTGTGGTACTCAGATGCAGTGCGGTTGCACTTTAAGTTTTACCTGGTACATCCCATAGTGTAGTAGTAAAATCTGTTTTATGGCTTGTCCAACCAGACATAATAATCCTGATTTTTCAAACTGCAACTCTACTTCAGAAATTCTAAAATGTATTAGAAGCATGCTAAAATTTCCTCTCAGTCAATATCATTCTAGCATGTCTATAGTATTATTTAAATCCCAAATTCAGGCACAATGTACTAACTTATGTTAAAGCAGTTGAAGAATCTGCTTACTCAAAAGCCACCTCCCATGAGGAACGCTATGTTTCAAAACGTACCACCTGGGTGTAAGCACTGTAGATTTCATAGACCTCGGTACTATGTTCGCATCTCCACCTCCCTCTTCTCCTGTACGACCTGTCCCATATACAGGTGGCTTTTAACCCCTTCGTGCCGGCGCCTCCCGGCCCTTTAAGAGTTTCAAAGGCCGGGAGGCGGGGCGGGGTTTAGGGTCATGTGACCGCCGTCACATGCCCTCACAGCGGTCATATGATCGGGAAAGGTCCCGATCGCAAAAGATGAAAAGATTACTAAAGTTACGAAAATTCTCATAGGACAGAATAAAATTTGGAAGTGATATCATGTATTTTAATGTATTTTTGAATGAAAACTGTACTGATTAAATTAAAATTGTACGATCTTGTACCACACGAGAAAAATTTTTGTGCTTGTACCTTCGAATAATTTCAGAGGAAAGCTGTGTACTAACGATCAGATTATCATATGATCACTTCGAAAGAGGTATTTTTTGTATGATTTTCTGATTGTGTATACTAGGCTTTAACCGCTTCCCTACGGCCCAATAGCATAAATACTGCTACAGGGCGGCAGGGGTGTGCAAATTCACGTATATATACGTGATTTTGCATTTCCGAGAAGGGGGCACGCGCTCGAGCCACGTGAGCACCATACTCGCACTGCCATTCGCGGCCGTGGCTCTCAATCACCGGGTCCCGGCAAGTGATTACCCGCCAGTGCCCAGTGATTACCGAATATCTCCGATGGGGAGGAGGGCTGCTTCCTGTTGGCTCGGGCATAGCCCAGCCATCCAGAGCAGTGTGCTTACGGTGAAGCACTAACACACCGTCCCCTAGTAAAACACTGCCAGCACACAGTTAACCCTTTGTTCGCCCCTCATGTTAACCCCTTCCTGCCCAGTGCCATTAGTACAGTGTCAGTGCTTTTTTTTTTTTTAGCACTGATCACTTTATTGCTGTCACTGGGGATGTAAGTGACACCAAGTCAGTTCCCCCCAGTGTCAGAATGCCCACCGCAGTCCTGCAGTCCTGCTATAAGTCACTGATCTCCATTACTAGTAAAAAAAACCTAAAAAATTCCAGTATATGTACCGCCATTTGTAAACACTATAATTTTCACGTAAACCAATTAATTTACAAGTATTGGGATTTTTTTTAGCAAAGACATGTAGCAGAATACATTTTGGCCTAAATTTATGAAGAAATTAGATTTTTTCAATTTTTTTTACTAAACATGTTTAAAAGCAAATAATCAAAAAATATAGTTTTATTTTTTTTTATAGCGCAAAAAATAAAAAATGCACAGGTGATCAAATACCACTGAAAGAAAGCTCAATTCATGGGAAAAAAAGGACGTAAATTTAATTTGGGTGCAACGTTGCATGACCGTGCAATTGTCAGTTAAAATAATGGAGCGACATAACACAAAAAATGGCCTGGTCAGGAAGGGGGGTAAATCCTCATGAAGGCAAGTGGTTAAAGAGGAGCTACAGTCTCCAACAGTAATGGCATGAAATACACTCAAAGAATGCTTAGTAGTAATTTTGTCAGAAAAGACTATTCATTTTGAGTAAAGTCAAGTGTGTGCATGTTAAATTTGATTTTAAATACCGCAGATCCACAGTGTGCCAGCAATCATTCCCTGTACAGGCACCCAAAGCCGGCACCTACTCTCTTCCAGGATTTGGTGCAGCTGGCTACCCATCATGCACCTCTAGTTCTCTTGCCTGCACAGTTATCACACCGCAGCAGACAACATGCTGAGGACGCCCAACAATGACTTGCTTATATCCCAGGAGTCAACAGGCAAATCAATGTGACTTCAATAGCCTAGGCACATAACTCTGAAAGCTGCCAAAAGATCAAAATAAAAAAGTATTTATGCTGAAAAAAAGTATCCAAATATAAGATTACATTGCCTGAGTATCAACATTAGATGAAATTGAAAATGAGGGTGAAGATCCACTTTAATGAACATGTTCATTCTTATAAGTGATGAGAAAATTGCATATTTCTTTATTTAAAGCTGTCTAGTTGTCTCACAATATCTAAGAAGGAAAGTCTCCAATATCCTGGTTACCTTAGCTGACTTTATACCAAAGGAATATCATTACAAACTGACCAAGTCCTTAAAAGGTCATGTTGCTCCAAAGAGGGTAGGTTGACCATTTCTTTACATTCGAGTCCTATATATACTACCGCAAAAACTTGGACAAACTGTTCTGTATCAGAGCTGCCATCATGTATGTGTTTGATTCTGCTCATCTGCGCCATGTCATATAATGGAGGGACCCATGGCAGAAACAACATCTTTAGTCAAGTACGATATATTTTTCTAATATTATTACTTTCTCTATCAGTCATTACTTAATTAAATGTTATAAGTATTTGTGTGATTTCTCTGTTTACCTATTGAATGCAACCCCAAAACATAAATTATCATGTGACCGTGATAAAATATTTGATATCAGAAGTGGAGTATTTGTGTAAACTAGTGATATGAATAATAGAATGTGTAGTGGCAGGATTGTACTAGATTGTTTGTGCTGGATTTAATGCTGTGTTTTTGTATTGTAATCCATAGTGCATTCAGAAAGTGTAGAAAATGTATCAATTGCTTAGCTGGATTAAAATAAAGGTGCCTGTAGACCAGGGGTTTCAAACTGGCGGCCCTCTAGCTGTTGCGAAACTACAAGTCCCATCATGCCTCTGCCTTTGGGAGTCATGCTTGTAACTGTCAATCTTGCAATGCCTCTTGGGACTTGTAGTTTGGAAACAGCTGGAGGGCTGCCAGTTTGA